ACGCATGACTGATTACATCATCTCGAGAAAACATAATTCTTCCCGTAATTATATCTTTCATGACTGTTACAAATATTGGTACCAAACAAAAATGAAATATATTAGGGTGTGCTTAACTTTTCTGTGTGTATACAACGTTCCGAATCCCAATTCAATGGTATTGTTTTGATAGTTCAATAACTACTCTAGTATGTCAACAGACAGATACGACTGTAATTTTCTCATCAAGTTGGACTTACTGTAACAGCAAGATGGTTTGATCTTTCCAATTTGTTGGGGCCGAGGATATGCCATCTTATGACGACTCTTGTTCTATACACCAATTACTTGTTTTTCTTCAAAACTCTTAACATGACTTAAAGTATCATGAAGGGAGTAAAATCATTTTAACTTGTTCATCTATTTTTTATGCAAGATTATTATTTTTATTTTTTTATCCGTATACCGCCTCCATGGTCTTGCGGTAAAGCGTCCGCCCGGAGAGCGGAAGGTCTGGGGTTTGATCCTCGGTCGCGTCATACCAAAAGACGTTAAAAGATGGTACTTGTTGTTACCCTGTCTGGTGCTCGGCATTAAGGGGCTAAACAAGGACTGGTCGGCTCGGAGTCAGTATACTGTGTCTGAGTGGGGTATTCATGTTAAACTGCGGCATGGTATCTCAGTAAGCTGGCACTATAAATCGGCATCAGTCCGGACTTGTACAAGTAACCACACACACACACATGCATGCACGTCGCTATATAAGTGCAATAATCTTGGACGCGACGATAAACCCAATTTCACCTCACCTCACCTTTTTATCCGTAATGTGTCTGCTGAGACCGTTGAAGCCTTGTGTACAAATCTGGCAAAATTGAAATGGACTTTACAATTGTTGTGGATCGTGGAGTCTCAGGATATATACAGCTGTAGCCATAACAGCTGACCATAGTATTTCTAATTACTGTTTTCTCATAAATGTCATCGGTAAAACGCACACATTTTGCCACAATATTAAGCCCCCGTCACACTTTAAAAACTCGGTAAAAATGGACTTTGATCCAGTTTTCGATAGTGTAACATACTTGACAAACTGATGACGTCACGTGGGATACGTCGCCATTCGTCTTGGAGGGCCTGGATAAGTTCTTGTTGGTTGGCTGGAGGATGTGGTCGTAGTCGAACACGACGATCCATGTGATGTTCGGCAGAGTACGGCAACGCGTTGACGTTGTTGGCTGCAAGGGGGGGGGGGGGGGGGGGGGGGGGGGTATGTACGAATCGGGCTGTATGGGGTCTGTATGCCCTAATTCCTTGAATCCTGAGTCGCCTGGCCACTGTCTGTCGAATAATCATATGCCCTTGGGCATTCGTCGCTGATGACGTCACCATCAGAATCGATTCCGGAGATGCAAAGTACGCAATCCCCTGTCTTCATTGGGCGCAGTTACCCTGGGTCTGCCTGTTCTTGACCTGTCTGATGTCTGCCCGGTCTGTCTGAAACTTTGCATCGGGCTAGTTACAGCAACACCAGAACCAAACGTTCTAGCAATGTGAGCATGGGTGGCTCCAGTCTGTATCATACCCTGGGCCCGCTCGCGTTGTTCAGGTGTTAGTCATGCATTTCTTTGGTGGTTTTTCATCGGTGTGAGTGTCTGATATTCCGTCCGTATAATTTATATACACTTATAGAACGTGTAATTTATGTAAATATGTATATGCAGCAGTGAGTTACATTCACTTAACTATAGGGAGAGTGAGTATTTTTTTTTCGCCGCTTTTAGCAATATTCCAGCAATATCACGGCGGGGGACACCAGAAATGGGCCTCACACATTGTACCTATGACGGGAATCTAACCCTGGTCTTCGGCGTAATGAGCGAACGCTTTAAACACTAGGCTACCCGACCGCCCCTCTTACAGGAAGAAGATACGTTACCTCGGAGGGTGAACATGGCAGACAAAAAGAGCACTCACTCTGTCATCTTTATAATGCTCGATACGACGAATGCGAATTTCTATGTTCAAATAAACTGCAGATCATCAAAAGCTTCATTCATATTATCATGGAATTTAAACTGTAACAGATACGTGTACCTATAATGCAGCATTGAAATTTACTGAGTGAAAAATATTTAAGAGATATTCAAGATTGATACCCTAAACTACTTCATGAAATGAATAATTGTTGTGTACTTCCCGCACCTCAAAGAAAATACCAGTATGTACAACCATGTTGACGTATGACATCACGACCGGTAACCGGTTCACCGATAGCAGTGCGCAGGATGTTTTTGTGCTAAAATACCTCCCTTTTGGAACGACTTATTTAGATGGAGCCCTTATCATTATATGCATTTACATTATTATGACTAAATGCCTCATTTTGCCAAGTGATTATATGTTATTTGAGTATGTGCATCTGTCATTCATTGTTGGCAGTTTTGATGCTTTTTCCAGATTCTTATGTTTGTGCCAGAAAGTGCTGCCGTGTCATACGATATACTTTTGTAAAATACAGCTACCCTATGCAAATGGAGCAACTGTATTTTCAAACCAGCCTTGTTTGTGGTAAATATAATCTTGCAGCGTCATACCATGCTGTAGAATAACATTTAGTCTATGAAATCTTAGGTTACACAATAACCTTCTTGACTCTCAAAAAATTATTTTAAAAAATCCCTATGCTGTGTGGAATAGAGCTAGCTAGAGCTTGCTGGAATTGCTTTTGCGTTTCTAGATTGTGTTTTTTTTCCATAAAATAAATACACTCTTCAAAAAAAGAAACGTATAGTAAAAAAAATAAGGATATTTATTAAGCGGATGTAAAAGTATCCACACAGAATATGCGTGAATACAATCAAATGAAATTAGACACAGTGATCGACAAAAGCATTGTCGTCATTGTCAGCATTAATTCAGTTCAGTCATTGCACATGTGTAGCCGCAAGGGGGCGTCATGGTCATTACCTGGTCACACCACGTCTTGCAGCCGTCACTGCTCGACACCTCCTTGGCACAGATTGCACAGTCGTCGGATTTTTTCGTGGGGAATTCTTCGCCATTCCTCCTGTAAGGCGTTGGCGAGTTGTGCCAATGTGTGGGGACGCTGGTGACGTTGACGGACGCGTCGATCAAGTTCGTCCCACAAATGTTCAATCGGGTTGAGATCAGGCGATTTGGACGGGCATGGACGGACATTGATGTTCTCATTAACAAGGAAATTAACTGTTGCACGTGCTGTGTGGGGCCGAGCGTTGTCATGTTGGAACAGCTCCCTCTGGCGGCCCAAAGTTGGGAGGAGGTGAGGACGCAGAATTGGTCTGTGTATCGGTTTGCTGTAAGATTGCCCTGGACAACCACTAACTGTGATCTACCCGTGTAGGATATGACTCCCCACACCACGACACTCCCTCCACCAAATTGGTCCACCTGTCGAACGCAGTTCGGCGCAAAACGTTCAAGTCGAGGTCGGTACACGTTGTCTTTCATCCCGTCGTTGAAGAAGAAAACGTGACTCATCAAACACCAAACGCGTCGCCAGTTCCTGCGATCCCATGCCTGTACTCTGGACACGTCGTTGACGGTGTAGACGTCGCAAGACAGGTCCAACTTTTGATCGTCTCGCTCGAATTCCCACTTCCCTCAGACGATTTCTGATGGTTTGGTTGGAAATTCATCGCATACCAGGCACTTGTCCTGCAGTGTCCGTTGCTGTAGCAAATCGATTCTGAAGGTGATGCAACCGGATGTACCGATCCTGAGCTGGGGTGGTCACTCTTGGTCTTCCACTTCTAAGGATGATCTTGAGTCGAATTAGTGCGGGTATATCAATGCCATAGTCGAGATATGGTGCTTTGGTGAACGTTGAAGTATCTTGCAGCGGCAGACTGGGACTCCCCTGCTTCCAAACGTCCAATGGCGATATTTCGGTCAGCTGCAATTAATCTTTCGCACTTTTCGATCTCCGTTCACGTCAGAAAATTCGTAATGAACTGATGAATTTTGTACGGTCTTTTATAGTCAGTGTCTCTACTCTTGTTTCCAACATTTTGCACGCGCATTATGCTGAAAACTTTTTTCTGAAAGCAATTTCCGTGCATCCTTTGCATTTTTGCTGATAAACGTTTACAAAAAACATTTTGAGATGTGTTTGCGCGCAATGCACAACAAACATGACATAATTAACGGGAATCAAACATAAGAATTGTTTTTATGGCGATTGCTGGGAAAAAAATCTATGCAAAAAGATTCAGAATGACAAAACACTCTCCACAAGTCTGTATGACAAGAGGGATGACTTCAACTTTCAAATAGTCAACTTTCCCTCCTTTTCGAGCAATATTATTCAATTCCAGCCCTTGACGTCTCCATTTTACAACTTTTGAGGTACAATCGAACATGCTCTTTCAACCCAGATTTCATACAACTCTTGCTCAAAAGTTGTTTGTTTAAGCTAGGTTATGTCATCCAAGGCTTCAAAAAATCTTTTAAAAAGTCTTATGGTTGACACGAGGAGGACATTTCCAAATTTGACGCATTTTGACTTTTACTGTATGTTCCCTTGTGTTTTTTTCAGGTGAACAATTGAACATGTGTTTGTGACGGGTGTTCACCTTCTCGCTAACACCTGGTTTCATTACTATTTCATAGTGATTCATAAACACACGCTCATGATATAGTCGAAATCGTACAATGGTTTGAGAAACCGTACAATCAAATCTGCTTTCGATAGAGATTTCTCATAAATATGGGAAAGAGTTTTGTCGTTTTTTTCGTAATGCGCGGAGGAGCGCAAGCGCTTTTTGGCAGGCAAACCAGTCTAAACCTGGTGCCAAGCTCCTTCCCACCTTCGTTACACTCTCGGTAATATATAGAGAGCTCCGCGAACGGGCTATCGCTGTGAGGAGCTTGTCTGGTGCCAAGCTCCTTCCCAGCGCGTGACACCTTCGTTACCCTCTAGGTAACATCGCGATATTATAGAGAGCTCCGCGAACGGGCTATCGCTGTGAGGAGCTTGGTCTGGAGTTAAAGGGGGGTTACTCTATCAAGGAGCTGGCCAGGTAAACAAAATGGCAGAAATCCATTTAGTGCCAGTACGTCTTGTACGTGGTCAAACTTGTGCATTGTGTTCCTCTTTCATATTCCGAAAGTCGTATCGTTCACTCCAGTCAGAAAAATCTGCAGTATACCGAAAATATCTGCAGCAGTTGGATATGAAAATCGAAGGACTTATCTGTTCATGCTGTGTTAATAAAATTAACCGATTGAACAAAATCGACAATGACATTTTAACGAAAATGGATATTCTGCAAGCTGCAAGACAAGAGCTGATGAAAGAACTTTACGAATCACACTACAAGGAAACGTACACGCCAGTGACAGAAGAACAGAGAACTGAAAACACCTCCAAAGATGATGATCAGTCATGAATTTAGAACTAGAAGTCATCATCAGGTTTGTCATCTCATTTTCTCAAAAGGTCTGAACCATAAGCGAAATCAAGCTTATGCTATGACATGAGGGTCCTATGTTTTGATGAAGTCTTTCTAATGCAAGAGCAGATATCGATTTTGCAATCACCAGTCCTAGCAAGCAAAGGTTCAGGCTGGCACAGACACAATAGAAGTAACTTCAAAGCAAGCTTGGGAGTAACAGGTAAAGCTGGCACTGAAAGTCATGGCAGAGGTAACAGCTGAGGCAGACACGGAGAGTCATGGCAGAAGTAACAGCTAAAGCAGGCACTGACAGTCATGGCAGAGGTAACAGCTTAGGCAGACACAGACAGCCATGGCAGAGGTAACAGCTAAATCTGGAACTGAAAGCCATGGCAGAAGTAACAGCTGAGGCAGACACAGACAGCCATGGCAGAAGTAACAGCTAAAGCAGGCACTGACAGTCATGGCAGAGGTAACAGCTGAGGCAGACACAGACAGCCATGGCAGAAGTAACAGCTAAAGCTGGCACTGAAAGTCATGGCAGAAGTAACAGCTGAGGCAGACACAAACAGTCATGGCAGAAGTAACAGCTGAGGCAGACACAGACAGCCATGGCAGAAGTAACAGCTAAAGCAGGCACTGACAGCCATGGCAGAGGTAACAGCTGAGGCAGACACAAACAGCCATGGCAGAAGTAACAGCTAAAGCTGGCACTGAAAGTCATGGCAGAAGTAACAGCTGAGGCAGACACAAACAGTCATGGCAGAAGTAACAGCTGAGGCAGACACAGACAGCTATGGCAGAAGTAACAGCTAAAGCAGGCACTGACAGCCATGGCAGAGGTAACAGCTGAGGCAGACACAGACAGCCATGGCAGAAGTAACAGCTAAAGCAGGCACTGACAGCCATGGCAGAGGTAACAGCTGAGGCAGACACAAACAGCCATGGCAGAAGTAACAGCTAAAGCTGGCACTGAAAGTCATGGCAGAAGTAACAGCTGAGGCAGACACAAACAGTCATGGCAGAAGTAACAGCTGAGGCAGACACAGACAGCTATGGCAGAAGTAACAGCTAAAGCAGGCACTGACAGCCATGGCAGAGGTAACAGCTGAGGCAGACACAGACAGCCATGGCAGAGGTAACAGCTAAAGCTGGCACTGACAGTCATGGCAGAAGTAACAGCTGAGGCAGACACAGACAGCCATGGCAGAAGTAACAGCTAAAGCAGGCACTGACAGTCATGGCAGAGGTAACAGCTAAAGCTGGCACTGACAGTCATGGCAGAAGTAACAGCTAAAGCAGGCACTGACAGTCATGGCAGAGGTAACAGCTAAAGCTGGCACTCATAGTTATGGCAGAGGTAACAGCTAAAGCTGGCACTGACAGCCATGGCAGAAGTAACAGCTGAGGCAGACACAGACAGTCATGGCAGAGGTAACAGCTAAAGCTGGCACTGACAGTCATGGCAGAGGTAACAGCTGAGGCAGACACAGACAGCCATGGCAGAAGTAACAGCTGAGGCAGACACACACAGCCATGGCAGAAGTAACAGCTGAGGCAGACACAGACAGTCATGGCAGAGGTAACAGCTAAAGCTGGCACTGACAGCCATGGCAGAGGTAACAGCTGAGGCAGACACAGACAGCCATGGCAGAGGTAACAGCTAAAGCAGACACAGACAGTCATGGCAGAGGTAACAGCTAAAGCAGGCACTGACAGTCATGGCAGAGGTAACAGCTGAGGCAGACACAGACAGCCATGGCAGAGGTAACAGCTAAAGCAGACACAGACAGTCATGGCAGAAGTAACAGCTAAAGCAGACACAGACAGTCATGGCAGAAGTAACAGCTAAAGCTGGCACTGAAAGTCATGGCAGAGGTAACAGCTGAGGCAGACACACACAGCCATGGCAGAGGTAACAGCTAAAGCAGACACAGACAGTCATGGCAGAAGTAACAGCTAAAGCTGGCACTGAAAGTCATGGCAGAGGTAACAGCTGAGGCAGACACAGACAGCCATGGCAGAAGTAATAGCTAAAGCAGGCACAGTCATGACAAGCTGGCACAGGATGTCCTTGCTAGGACTATAACAATGCACTTTGTAATGATTCAGTTTGTATCTGTAATGTAAGGTTGCAATACAACACTTGAAAAACTTGCCATTGGGGGACGGGCTTTATCCTGCAAATGGTCCCATTGTTATTCTAGGTCCATGCAGTCACTGTTATTAGTGAATCTGTGACATTGTTTCTATGCTGTCTTGGAAACTAAAGGGTATCTATGGTATTTTTCACTTCTATGCAACGCCTTAATCTTAAACTTTCACTGTTTGGGATTTTGACAAGGACCCTTGGATTTTCATGCTTAATTTCAAACACTGCTGTGTAACTATGGAAACAGCAAGACTGATGTACATCATGACATTTGAGTTACCATGCAGACTTCATGTTGTTTGAATGGCTTGAAGTTGTGTAAGGACTGCTGCTGTTGCTACTAGCTTACGTGGGCCTAGTCCCTCTTCAGAGAATAGTATTCAACTACGGGAATGACTAAGAAACCCAACCGTGACATATTGAGTGAACTTGAGAGCCAAACTAACAATGGTTCGAGAATTCTTGTCCATAACATCAGAAAATAGTACTTGACACTTCATTTTCATACTTAATAACATGTTCTATATATAATTTTTAACCTGTATAGAATACTAAGAATGATATACCATGTCCTGCTAGGATACTCATAATGTGGCACAACTTCGCAGAGCACCTAGTCTTCATTGTAATGACAAGCTGTCATTGTATTTATTAGTTTTTCTAGTCAACAATGTAGGGAAATATTCACCATTGATGATTTCAGGTATTTTTATCTAGTCATTCATTAATGATATGTTCAAAGTAAACATGGTAAATCACTGTTAAAACAAAGTAATAAGAAATGTTAGACGTTTCACCGGACAATGTAAATAGATCAGGATACTTGATTTTATATACTTCTGACTAATATTTAATCTCTTTGTCCAACAGTAGCATAAGGAACTAATTTTGATCATGAGAAGAAAGCACCATGTATCATGAATGTACATTTCAGATGCAGATGGGGAAAATGTTATATAATATGACATTTTCCTAAGTCCGCAATCAGGCCAGATATAGGATACTGAATACCTCTTTACCATTAGTAATTCACTATGACGTAAGATTTGAAGTATATATAGAAATGTACCTGTTACCCTGAATGGAATAAATAAATATATTATGATACATGAGCATGTTCTTCATTTTAACTTCAGCATTGGGATTATGACAAGGATCCAGCAAAATCACAGCAGGGGACACCAGAAATGGGCTTCACACATTATACCCATGTGGGGAATCGAACCCAGGCCTTCGGCATGATGAGCGAACGCTTAACCCACTAGGCTACACCCTCCACACATTGCAACAACCCAATCTGCATATTAGTTAACTTATGATTGTTGTGTATTGGTTGTTTAATGCTGCATTCAGCAATAGTCAAATTATATGAACAGACGACCATGTGATTGACATCATGAGCATGCAACTTGGAACGATGACATGCACATCTTCCAATTCACAGGGGCTGAGCACCCAATTCATTTAGTTCTCTCTTACACCAAGCTTTGGTTGCTGGGGGCCGATATTCTTACCTGGAATCCCCAGTGGCTAGCTTATATGATTAACATGAGGTGCTTGTGACCTTTTGGTTCCCATTGTCCCCCAGAGTATGCATGCTTCATAAACACTTTAACATTAAACTAACCATAATGCCAATATTTGTATTGAATCATGCTTATCACATCTGTGTGGTTCAATGAATTATTTTGAACATATAAATATATGTACCCAGTTCGGCATATTATGACACATCAGATATCAAGGTGTATCATGTCAGTCTGTAAATAACTGGACTAGCAAACCAGTGACTGAGACAATGAGAAATAATCCACGCCATCCAGTAATGATGACCCGCAATCCATCAACTCGCAGAGCCTGATAACCTTTCATCTTCTGTGAAGACCAGCAATGGTGTCCTGGGACCTGTTCCACAAAGTGATTCTTGGGACTTCGATTATCACATTAAAGTGTGGGAGTTACGATCGTCTTTGCTCTACGATTAACAAGTTAATGTATGGGAGTTACGATCGTCTTTGCACTACGATTATCACATTAAAGTGTGGGAGTTACGATCGTCTTTGCACTACGATTAACATGTTAATGTATGGGAGTTACGATCGTCTTTGCACTCCGGTTATCATGTTATTGTATGGGAGTTACGATCATCTTTGCACAACGATTATCATGTTAATGTATGGGAGTTACGATCGTCTTTGTACTACGATTATCATGTTAATGTATGGGAGTTACGATCGTCTTTGCACAACGATTATCATGTTAATGTATGGGAGTTACGATCGTCTTTGCACAACGATTAGCATGTTAATGTATGGGAGTTATGATCGTCTTTGCACTACGATTATCATGTTAATGTATGGGAGTTATGATCATCTTTGCACTGTTAATGTATGGGAGTTACAATCGTCTTTGCACAACGATTAGCATGTTAATGTATGGGTGTTACGATCGTCTTTGCACTAAAATTATCATGTTAATGTATGGGAGTTATGATCATCTTTGCACTGTTAATGTATTGGAGTTACAATCATCTTTGCACAACAATTATCATGTTAATGTATGGGAGTTACGATCGTCTTTGCACAACGATTAACATGTTAATGTATGGGAGTTACGATCATCTTTGCACTGTTAATGTATTGGAGTTACAATCATCTTTGCACAACAATTATCATGTTAATGTATGGGAGTTACGATCGTCTTTGCACAACGATTAACATGTTAATGTATGGGAGTTACGATCATCTTTGCACTACGATTCACATGTTAATGTATGGGAGTTACGATCGTCTTTGCACTCCGATTAGCATGTTAATGTATGGGAGTTACGATCGTCTTTGCACTACAAATATCATGTTAATGTATGGGAGTTACGATTGTTTTTGCACTATGATTATCATGTTAATGTATGGGAGTTACGATTGTTTTTGCACTCTGATTATCATGTTAATGTATGGGAGTTACGATCATCTTTGCACTACAATAATCAAGATAATGTATGGGAGTTACCATCGTCTTAGGACTAAGTTCGCTGTATGGGCCTGGTGACTTATTCTAATCTTAATCTAGCTGCCCAAAGGAGTGCAGTGTAGAAATAAAACCTTATCTAAAGTGGTGTATAAATAGTAAGCACAGGTTTGGTTGCTTCGTATGGACTGTAAGAGATTATTAGCCAAGTGTTTCCGAATCGTAAATATATAATATATAAAATGTAAAACCATACTTATGATACAGAAATACCCGGGTACCATTGCTTGTGATACCAAGGGTATCATGCAATGGAACCAAGGTGGATCATATATTGGCTGATGCTATTTATGCAATAAACTTGGATCATGATCCAATAAATATGCAAACGTTCTGGCCCACTAAGAACTGCTTTCAAGGTTCCTACATTGCTGGAATGCCTTCTTTATCGATAAACTGTAAAGCAACATTGCCAGTATGATAGGTTAGATAGGGTTTCACAATGTGTTGACGTGTTTCTGTAAACGAAAACAGCTGAAAGTCATTTGCACTATATAATACATTGGGTTGTTAATATTGTCTTCATATGTGATAACCCGCCGTGATATTGCTGAAATATTGCTAAAAGCGGCGTAAAACCAAACTCAGTCATATGTGATAAATAAAGCTACTTCAATGAGTGGAATTACATCATACATTATTGGGGACACGGGTGGCCCAGTCGTCTAAGGCCCCGCGATTCGCTGTGCAGAGTTGCGTCCCTTGGTCACACCAGAAACCTATGATTGTGGGTTCGAATCCTGGTTTGCCCCGATTATGTTTCTATGTTTGTCAGCACCATACCCGTGCTCGTGCACTTTGGGCTTTCCACCCACATTAAGCTGACACACTGCGATATAACTTGAATACTGTTAAAAGCAGTGTTAAACCCAACTCACTCACACATTATTTTAAGAATGACATGATAAAAGGTTATTTTCACACTGTTACAACAGCTCTGGGTCTGAAAAAAACCTTGGATACTGTCGACCAAGTATAGGTACAGATTTTTTGGAATCTGTACCTCCCAAGCAGCAGACGAGCACCCGGTCCTACTTCCAACTCACAAATCAGTTAATATTTAATTTGGGGGCACGGATGGCCCAGTCGTCTAAGGCACCGCAATTTGCTGCGCAGAATTGTGTCCCTTATGTACTCCAGAAATCTATGATTGTGGAATTGAATCCCGGTTCACCCCGATTATGTTTCTAGGTTTGTCAGCACCAGACCCGTGGTCGTGGGTTTCACCGAAGTGGTAAACGTCTGGGACCTGCATCACTTTTGGATTTATTACTCAGCAAAATGTCATGCTTTACATATCAACAAAGACAATTTATATTCAACAAGACATGATTTATTTAGAAGTAAAATATATTAAAAACAATGTTAATAAAAACACTTGTAAAACCGATAACACTGTTATCCTATGAATTGCACAGATCATGAACATGTTACAAAATCACATATATATACATGTATTACCAATAATAAGACATAAACACAATTAACATATATCCCCAGTGTTTTAAATGGGTCATTTCATTGTTATCCACAAAACAATCTTCAGATGAAAATGTTTTAATAAAAATTCAGTTAAATAAAGTTCATATAGTTCAGATTCATTAATATCATTGAAAGTAAGATATACCCGACAAAAAAATGAAGCATGTAATCATGGTAACTCAGAAGTACTCTTTTTCTCGGAAGATTTCTGATATTAATTTTGGCTGAACATGGACTTCATCATGTTCAGATTTCTAAAGATTTTTATTTTCTTTAACATGTTCAAATCTGACACAAAACAATTCAAATTTAAAGTCTGGTTTCTTTCTTGACCCATAAGCAATGTACCACAGATTGAATGTGAGAGAAACACCGAAGTGTAAATGTTTTACCCCAATACACATGAAAACAGCATTAGATTTGTTGTGCATTCTGAAGCCATTATTAGAGCTAATATCATTGTTTAATACCACACATTTTTAGTTGAATGGATGTGACCACTTAAGCTGTTGAGTATCTACTGGTATCTGTCACACATAAAAGTGTTGAGAAAATATCGGAGACCGCCATGGATGTTTGATTTAATGACTGTTTCAGGAACATTAATAACTATATTTACAATTATTGGCATTTTCATCATCATTTCAAGCCATGTCTCTACATGCACATGAACAAACATTCAAACTCTAAAGAACCCTGTTAGTTTCTGCTGACCCTTGACCTGAGGCAGGAGTTGTCGACGGCAACCCTTCTTGGAAGTTGAAGCTTTTTTCTTCCGAGAGCCTGTTGGTTGTGACAAACTTGGTTGAGATAAACTGGGTTGAGATAACGCGTCATCTGTGGTCTTTGTGTTCTTGCTCACTTTGTCGGATATCTTTCTCTTCTTGGCCGGTTGATCAGACTTAAGGGGGGGCTTTGAGCAGAGGTTCTCCTTGTCCAGAGAGGCCCAGGTCCCTCGCTTCCTGGCAGGAGGCATTCCCAGCAGGATCTTGGCCGTGTCTGGGCCCGCATGGACAACTGTTTTACTGAAACCAAGATGTAGAGTTAGTTATAGAGTAACTAACAGTGGTCTTACAAGCTGCAACTCCCATTGCAGAGTTGTATCCCTTGACTGTGACAGGATCAGCAGGTTACGGGTGGGAATGCCAGAATTGCCTTGATTATGACCCTTGGTTTGTAACCAGGGTGATAAAATCATTGACCAACATCAGTTTGGATTTCACGACATTAAAACTGCCTTGACAGATACCTGGATACTTTTCTAAGTTCTCTTAACACTCAAAGTACTGGAAATAAACTTGAAAACTGTCAACTCTTAAACCACAAGAGCAAGATTTTGAAATGTTGTAAGTTTGCTGCTTGAGTGAGAGTGGAGTGGGCGAGTATAATTTTACGTTGCTTTTAGCAATATTGCAACAACATCACAGCAGAGGTCACCAAGCCTTCAGACATTGTATGTGGGGAACCAAACCTAGGCCTATGGGTCGACAAGCAAACACTTCAACCACAAGGTTACCCTACCACCCCCATAACTGCTTGAAGTGTCGTCACTAACTTGTCATTCTACAATTGCTAAGCACCACACACTTGTGCTGACTGACATCTCACCTTGGAAACACAATGACAGAATTCAGCTGTTTCCGGGTCAACTTTTCTCCACATGGCAAAATAACTTCAGAACTTTCCTAAAAGAAAAAAAACATAAGGAATGTGTTTCTGCATTAAGGGTAAACATTACCCGATAAAGAGAAAATATTTTTATATAAACTATACTACAATAATGTTATGATATTGGATAATATATTCAGGATTTTTAATCAGAACAGTAGGTCCATTATAACCCAAAAGCAATCTGCAAAGGAGACCTCCATCTTCAAAATGTTCTGATTATCCACCAGATCCTCTAGATCTCCAGGGCTGGCATTTATGTAACCCAACACTTAATCCTGGATCCAATCCCATGGTTCTCACAATCTCAGCCTTGATTTTCAAATAAGGCTTAAGATAAATGAAAGAATTGGTTTTCAGGCAATTGTTTTTTTAAATATAGTGTGGGCGGGTGGGTGGTGTTTTTTCTTCTTCTTTTTTTTTGGGGGGGTGGGGGTGGGGTGTTGTGTGTTGTGTGTTGTGTGTTGTTGTTCAAATTAGTATGTAACCAAATAAACAGTTGTGTAATCAAATAAACAATGGTGTACAATCAACCTGGGAAAGGGCCTCCCTACATAAATGTACTCCTTGATGGAAAATACTGGAATAGTGTTTGCCTACCGTTGGACTTGGAATATTTGAGGATTTTGGTTGGTTATTTTAAAATGAAAATAGTGAGTGAGTTAAGATTTATAGTCACATCGGCAATATTTCAGCCATATCGTGACTATTAAAATGGAAATAAAAACGAAACATGCTGCAGACTTTATGATGATCCGGGCAGTGCCTGAGAACCAAGACTATTATTTATTTGAGCCTAATATACCGACCAATCAAATGGTGAAATAAGGAAAAAGGAAATGGGAAAGGGAGGTGGACAAGAAGACATCCTTTTCATCAAATTTTTTTTAGGGCTTTCTTTTGCATGTCAGTCACTTGTTCAATGTTGAATTTCTTGCAAACTATCGTCATCAATAGGACTTGTCCCCATGTTGTTGACATCACCAAACCAACATTGAGGCTGGTGTGTAACTCGGTTCGTAACTGATTAGAATGTTAGACGAATAGAGCAGCACATCAAATAGGCTCATGAAAATCAAGGGTGGGTAATTTGAGATCGCAAGAACCAAGGGAACGGATCCAGGTGTTATTACTATGCCGATATAGAGGATGAGACCAGAGAAGTCTGGTCAAGGGATATGCTTGTGGCAGACAAGTGACGCAGTGTGATAACAGGATAGCCATGTTATAACAATGTTACTTAGAACATAGCTATATACACCAGGCTCACTTCATGTCAGTAACTATTATATTCCTTGCAGCAATGTTCAGCTAGTGTTTCACAAGGACTTACATAGGCCCTGATGTTGGTCCTGTCCGACAGTCCGGTGACTGCAGGCTTGTCAGGGCTGTCCTCTTCCATTGCAACCATATCAGGAGACCTGTGACAGGAGAGAAGAATGCCATTAAACACACGTACAGTACAAGTTACATCATTCCATCATCCTTGCTTATCCAGGGTATTATCTCTCCATTCTGTTAGGATAAATACCCTGGACCCACTGCCATCATCAGTTTTGTTTCAGAAGTGAAGTCTCAATCTCTCCTTTCTCTTAACAAACAAACAAACATAACACAGAATTGTTCTCGCGTGTGAGAAATTTGATTGGATGACAATTTTTAGCTCCATGCAATTTTTATTCATGCTCAAAACAAAGCGATGGTGGTGAATGGGTCCAGGTTATGTAGCTATCATACCAGAATGATGATATAATACATTTAATATATACCGGATTAACAAGGATACATTGATGTTGAAACACGATGTTTTCAGATCCATTGAACTTTGTTCGTTTGTTTGTTGTTTATTGCAAAACTCAGCAATATTCCAGCCATATGACAGCGGTCTGTAAATAATCGAGTCTGGACCAAACTATCCATTGATTGACATCATGAGCATCGATCCACACAATTGGGATATGATGACATGCATCAAACAAGTCAACGAGCCTGACCACCCGATCCCAATAGTCGCCTCTTACAGCAAGCATAGGTTGCTGAGGACCTATTTCTAACCTGGATCTTCACAGGTTTTAACTTTGGAATTGATTTTGAGATCCTATCACTAAGATGACAATGTTCTCATTGTTTATGATTTCATAGTAAATATAAATGCAAATAATGATCATATTCTACTGGTATGTTATCGCTAGATGAAGATTTATGGTTTTATCTTAAATCTGCTCAACTGTATAAAGAGATGTGAAAACGTCTATATTTGGATTCATCAACAGAAATAGAAAGACTCAATGTTATTATTAAGTTGGTAACTTGTGAGAGTGAGTGGGTGTAGTTTATAGCAATATCATAGTTGGGGGCACCAGAAATAGGCTTCCCTAATGGTACCCATGTGGGGAATTAAACCAGGGCCGTTGGCCTGACAAGAGAACACTTTAAAGGGACAGTACATCAACGGTTCTTTGTTTTTAAATCATGCATGAAATATTTTCCCAGTTTGACATCACATGCCCAATTCAATTCTCAAAACAAAACAACAGAACTCTGCAGAGTGAAGCCGACAACTCAAGCACTGGACAGAGTAAACTGGCTTCAGTCTTGTTTTCTTATAGAGGCAAACTGAAGAGAAAGATTGTGTTACTAAATACTAATTGCCAGCTTGATTTGATTAGAAGCCAATGTTTATCAAAGCCAAGATTACAATATAAATAGGCTTGGGTAGGTATGAAGCCAATCTCTCTCCTACCCAGGGTATTGTGTAAAGCTAAACTGTCATGCACCTCAATGTTGCAGTTGGGAGTTGTATATCTCCAATGGAAAAACAGAGCAGTGTAAGCTCGGAGGTCATCGGCTACTGTGTACAAACAATGCTTCAGAACAGTTGACAATGTGTCCCTTTAACCACTTGATTAACCAGCCCCACTGTAAGGACAAGGATCATGAGATGAGTTGCTGTGCTCTACTATACACGGAAACAGTCTGAGATACCTGAACTGTGACATGAGACATGGGACTCTTGTGGGTGTGGTGGGGTTCAGAGCCATGTCACTGAGGAACAGCTCACAGGAGTTGTCTCCCCCTTGGCTACTGGCCATTTTGTCCAGCAACAGCTTGATAACTCTCAGAGTCTTTCGTCCTATCAGGGATCCTCCTTCTGATGCGGGCTGAAAGATGAGTAAGTATTTCCATTAGAATAAATTCCAAACATTTACCTTTTGTAGGAACACATCGAATATCCCATCACTGGTTGTATTTAACAATATTGTTTATCGTATAATGCAAAGCTTTCCTCCACATTCATTGGTCCAGAAGCGGTCACATGTCATCTGACAGAAACAAATACTGATTCAAAGGCAGGTCTGAAAATACAGTACTGACTTGAGTTACTAAAATTAGAATGGGAATTATGGTTTCCCCAAACCTAAGCCAATCAGATATGTCCATTTTATGAAACCTCTTAATGTTATTTTAGCATAGGTTGGTATGTTCAATCTGCCTTTGTCTAGACTTTATATGAGGTCAATACCTGTTTTTATGGACCCGCAGAAAGCAGGGTTTGACTTAAGGAACTTGATCTAACTAAATATATGACCAGATACATTGTGTATAAGGAAGTTTCAAACCTTTTTAATAGTGTTTATGCCCTATGAAATATATAACTTCACGAAAATTGGCCTCAATGTTAGTATTGTGATAGATTGAAAACATCGATATTTTGGTTTACATTTTCAATTCTTATTTCAAAGGTCCCTTGAGTTCGTTATATCCAAGCTTTTCTGTATTTGAACATATTAGTGATAAGGCCGGGACGGTAACTTGGGTACTCAGGTCGCATGGGTACCCACAGGACTTAATGGCAAATATTATCTGAAAATCTATGGTTACAATATAAGTGATAAATGTTCACATTCCTTCTGACTTTATATGTTTGCATAAAGATAAAACTTCAGTGTATGCACGATTAGATCGGTTTATACGTGTATCTAAATACATTTTGTCAAACGTTTCCCAATCGGACATTTTGCATCTATTTCTTGAGACCTACAGCGGACACCCGGGTATGGTCAGGTAATAGGGAGTTGGGTACCCGGGGAGTAAATGTGGACTCGTCCCAGCCCTAATTTGAGACCTTGTTTGGAGTGTGCGCCGTCCTGGTCTCGAGGTCTCTGACAATCTGAGAGATGCAGTCGTAAAGTTGCTCTGTCACCAGCTCTACTTCCTCCATCTTCAGCTTCAGCAGCTTACACTTGACGAGTCGGTTCTTCACCACATTGAGGATGCGGCGACACGCAGACCTGAGATGGCCACATCATATTAGTAAAACTTTAGAAGAGATTTTATACTACAAACGTTTGTATCACAAGCATGTTGTGCCATGGACCTATTGAATGGTCACTCAACTGCACCTGATCTATGTATCAACTGATTAAAAATCAGATAAGAATTATCTGAGAAGTTTTCAGACACATAATAGCTCGGATTATCCTTGCAAACTTTCAAGTTTAAAGACTTTGTTGTTTTAGAGATGTTGAACATTTTTGTTTGTTTGTCGTTGAACACAGCACTCAGCAATATTTCAGCTTATGACGTTAGTCTGTAAATAACTGAGTCTGGACCAGACAATCCAGTGATTGACATCATGAGCATTATCCACGCAACTAGGATACAATGACCTGCATGAACCAAGTTAGTGAGCCTGACCACCCGATCCTGATCCTGTTAGTCGCCTCAAGCATAGTCGCCTTTTATGGCAAGAATGGGCTGCTGAAGAACTTTCCTCCCCGGATTGTCGATGTAAAAGTATATGAGGTGAAAACGGGTCTAATGCTGCATTCAAGAATATTTTCCTTATATAGCAAAGTGCATGCATATGTGTGGCTGCTTGTACTACTCCAGATTCATTGTACTGGCTTTGAGACAGCCAGTCCTTTATTCCATTAATGCTGAGTGCCAGACAGGGTAACAAGAAGTACCATCTTCAACATCCTTTGATATGATGTGGCCAGGGTATTGAACCTCCGACCTTCTACAATATGTGGCAGACGCTCTATCCACTAGACCAAGGTGGTGGTTGAAAGCTGACAATGACCCACACCTTAAGCATACTTAAACCGAAAGTTCAAGTGAGCTCACAAACCAATGGGTCACTTCCCTTCCATTTTTAAGTTGGAAGGGAAGAAAAAAATGTTCCATTAATAATAATCTAATACCGTTTGTGAATCAGCAAATGAGTAAAGCAATTAACAGCCGACCTGATATCTGGATCTTCTTCTGCAACAGTCAGCAGCTTCTGTACCAGGTCTACCAGCTCCCCGAGACCCTTGACATGCTGGTTGAGGGGACACTCCGTATCCGGGGCATAGCCCTTCCCTCCAAGTCGGATACGCATCAGGAAAGACATGGCAGTCTGAAAGAGCATTCTCCCTCGTTTAGCTGTTGTTTCAGCTTGTATAGAAATTAGCATGAGTGAGTGAGTGAGTTTGCGTTAATGCCACTTTACAACAGTATTTCTTTTCCATCACCCTGTTGGAGGACAGCCCTGAGTGAGTGAGTGAGTGAGTGAGTGAGTGAGTGAGTGAGTGAGAGAGAGAGTATGGTTTTACGCCTCTTTTAGCAATATTCCAGCAGACACTAGAAATGGCCTTCACACATTGTACCCATGTCAAGAATCGAATCCAGGTCTTCGGCGTGATGAGTGAACGCTATAACCACTAGGCTACCTGACCGCCCCTTTCAGCCCAAAGTGATGCAAGTGACGGGTAACCCACTACACGGGTCAGGTGGGTCCTGAGTAGGACCTGGGTACCCACGGGGCTACCTGGACCCATGGTAAGTCTTGTGATATATTACTAAATGACAATAACAATACAACTCAATGGTTTCCAGGGGTAGAAACAAACTTTTAGTCCAATAGTCCTTACAAAGATAACATATAGCAAAACCCTTAAAAATGGCACACTTCTACTAGTGCTTATAATAGGATACCTTAACTATTGGGCAGTTTGGCTGGGACTACAGGACTAGTACCGATTTCTAATACTGGTTAATTGAGAAGTCGCTAATGTTCGCATTTCTTTCTAAGTGTTATATTTTTCTAAGTGTTATAAGCTACAGTCAACTTCAATGTATGCATGACAGGATTGTTTTACATGTGTATCTAAATAGTTTTTGCCACGGCACCAGTAAAATAGTTCCCAATTGTACATTTCAACCAACTCTTGGGTTGGTTAGGTAATAGGGGCTGGTTCCCAGGTAGTAAATTTGGGCTCATCCCAGCCCTAATGCAGGTCTTTGACAATTTCCACTTTGGGTGAAACCCATGTGCATGGGTATGGAGCTGACAAACCTGGAAAAATAATCAGGGTGAATGTGGGATCCAAACCCACGACCATAGGTTCCTGACATGCCCAAGGGAAGCAACTCTGTACAGTGATTTCCAGTCCCACAGACAACTGGGCCATCAGTGCAGGTGAGTCAGCCCTACAGAACTCACCTGGAACATGGACATGTTTTTCCGCTTGGCCTCGTGTTTTAGAGCAGTGAAAGCATGGTGATCCAGCTCCCGGTCTGGTACGTTGAAGATGCGGGCAAGAGCCAGCTCACTGCGGGAGTTCACCAGGATGTGGAGGTATGCCAGCAGCACTCGGTGAGTGAACACCTGCAACAGGGGATGACATGAGTTACCTCCCTTTGTGTACAACCAATGTCTGAATGTTTGTGAGTTGGGTGAGGTGAAATGGGGTTTAACGCTGTGTCCAAGATTATTGCACTTATATAGCGATGTGCATGTACATGTGTGTTTGTGTTGTTGCTTGTACTAGTCCGGACTGATGCAAATTTATAGTGCTAGCTCACTGAGATACCATGCCGCAGTTTAACATGAATACCCCACTCAGACACAGTATACTGACTCCGAGCCAACCAGTCCTTGTTTTAGCCCCTTAATGCCGAGCGCCAGACAGGGTAACAACAAGTACCATCTTTTAACGTTTTTTTGGTATGACACAGCCAGGGATCGAACCCCAGACCTTACGCTATTCGGGCAGACGCTCTACCTATAGATCACGGAGGTGGTCTGTGAGTTGTGTGAATATCTTATATATCGCGGTATATTAGTCATCAGCTTGGTGTAGGGGAAAAACTGAAGTGATGCTGGTCTAGGAGTGTTTGTAGTGCTACCACTTGGGTGAAGCCCTACGGTCCTCTGAGTGAATCTTGGATTTGAACCCACGACTAAGGTATGCAACACCAGGGCACGAAAAATCCACTCGACCTCATGTAGCAGTATGTGCAGGAAAGAAGTTAAGAAACACTTGTCCTACTGGGTGAGTACATTTATTTCAATCGTATCAATTCATCTCTAATCGTTTTCAATAATATATGCAGCATAACTTCGAACCTAAAATAGTTTTCATTTCTTGTACGTTCGTGGTAATAACGAAATACATGTAGTTTATATAATAAATAGAAGGCATACTTGGCAACTGTCTGCAAATGTGAGGTTGCACAGCAGGTCTGGAAACTATTTTTTAAAGGGATGCAATATATTTATTTTTGTTGTAAGCGACTCGTTTCTGATTCTCCATTGTCAAAGCAAAAATGAATGATTTTGAGAGGTAATGTCTGTTTTAATAGGTAATGGTGGGGTTGACAAGAAAACACATGATTGAAATGACTATTTAAAAAAATAAAATAGTATGACCTTTAAAAACAAAAATGAATGTTCAAAACTGAATTGGCGGGGTTGAATGTAGCTGGCAGTGATTGAATTATTTTGTACTGTCTGCCATGACTACCCTCAACGCAAAGGTTAATTACGAAAATGGTAATAATAACTAAGAACAATACTGTATGAAATTTAATAGGGAAAGTGAAAATATAGCATGACAAGTACAAAATAATATCTACTTGCCCTGCAGGACAAGTTGGATTTAAGAAATTTTTCGAGCCCTGAGTTCAACGGTGAACAGTGTCTTGCTGCACCTGAAGCAAATGGGCCACCAGTGTCCCCATCAGATTAATTGTATTCTGAACAAGAACAAATGAATGTGTGTATGAGAAGATTTCCTTAGTGTGAAACCATTACAAAATATGGGCTTCGTATGGGTTTTAATAAACCTGGTTATATTGGACAACATGGATGACAACAAATTTGACTCTACCTTGTCACATGTTTGGTTGAGCCAACATGTTAAATACTTACCAATAAATACCACTGTCATGATTGAAAAGAATATGAAAGGTCATCAATTCTCTAATTCATGATTTCACCAACCTGTTGTATTGATGTTGAAGTAGGTCTTGATCCCTTAACTGGTGTTTCAACAACAAGGGGGAGTAACTCCTCCAAAGACCTATTTCGCTGACTGATGGTTTCAGTGTCTTCAGATGCACCATCATTGTACAGCTCTGTGATGTTACCATGGTTACCCCCTCTACACAGGTGTCTCATCAGCAGCTTCTACGAGCGGGAAATAAAAACATAATCAGGTCATAGTGAGTGGGTGAGTATGGTTTTACGCCGCTTTTAGCAATATCTAGCAATATCACGGTGGTGGACACCAGAAATGGGCTTCACACAATGTACCCATGTCGGGAATTGAACCTGGGTCTTCGATGTGAAGAGCAAACGCTTGAACCACTAGGCTACCCAACCGCCCCTAATCATTATAATGTATATAAGCCTTAGGTCAGTGATAGTTTCATTACTTACATGTTTTAAATATGTTTGTTTGTTGTTTAATGCCACACTCAACAATATTCCAGCTATATGGTGGCAGTTGGTAAATAATCGAGCCTGGACCAGCAGGCCAATGATTGACATCATGAGAATCGATCTACACAATTGGGATACGATGACATGCATCAACCAACTCAGTGAATATGACCAACCGATCCTGTTAAGTTACCTCTTACAACAAGATCAATTCTAACCCAGTTCCTAATCAGTAAACTATCCCCTATTGAAGCATACTTTTCAGACACCAATACACTGTCCCCTTGCATCAGTTTTTACAAGCCTGGAGAGTGATGGTTTTCATGTTTTTATTCTTTTTTTTACTTCTCAAGGAAACATCTGAACATCATACCTCAGTTTGACCTCTTGGCAGACCTAGAAACACGAGCGTTGTTCCCGCCAGGTCTCTCTGGAGCTCCGACTCTGTGGGGTCTTTTGTGAACTCTTTATTAAAGGCAGTGACGACGTCCATGATGTCCACATGTCCGCAAGCAGCCAGGAAGGAATTGTACTGAGTCAGCAGTTCTACACAGGTCTGGGAGGACAACACTTCTTCCGGGTTCAGTTTTGCAGCAGATAGTTTCTGGTAGTATTCATAAACCTTGCTTGCTTCGGCGTCAAATGAGTCCCCTTTCTGCCAAAGAGGATCAGATTGGGACATATATGTGGTAGATGTTTGTTTATTTATGTTGTTTGATGCCACACTCAGCAATAGTCCAGGTATAAGACGGTGGTCTGTAAATAATCGAGTCTAGACCAGACAATCCAGTGATTGACATCATGAGCATTGATCCACGCAATTGGGATACGATGACATGCATCAACCAAGTCAGCGAGCCAGACCACCAATCCTGTTAGTCGCCTCCTATGACAAGCACAGTCGCCTTTTATGGCAAGCATTGGTTGCTGAAGACCCATTCTACCCCGGATCTTTATGGGTCATATGGTTGATGTAACATCTACACCTGATATTTTATGAGTGAGTGATGCAATGCTGCAGTCGGAAATATTCAAGCTTTATCAAGGTGGCCTGTAAATAATCACCAAGCTTGGCATCTTAACCTAATCACTAGACAACCTTTTCGATCACTTGTAATCGGGGCGGTCGGGTAGCCTAGTGGTTAAAGCGTTTGCTCGTCACGCCGAAGACCCGGGTTCGATTCCTGACATGGGTACAATGTGTGAAGCCCATTTCTGGTGTCCCCCGCCGTGATATTGCTGGAATATTGCTAAAAGCGGCGTAAAACCATACTCAGTCACTCACTTGTACTCAGTATGATAAAATGGTTACAAAATGGAAACAAAAGCAGTTTGTTCACTTGAGGGTCATAGTCCCTGGTTGTCTGTAGCCTCACCTCCTTGTTCATATGTGCCAGACACAGTTGTACTGCCTGAAGGCTCTCCTCCACAGACAACACAGTGACCCGGCGGCTGACCAACAGGCCATGGCTTCGACACAGTCGCGTCACATACTCTCCTACGGTTTGGTGTTTCTGGATACCAGGCAACACAGAGGTAGGACATCCCGGGGAGATGAACTGGACATTCTCTTCAGCTGAAAGTGAAACAGTGGTATTTGTAATACTGTTAGCAGTCATGTATTGTTCCAATCACCAATTTCATCTACAAGTTTGATTTCTGTTTCCAACCACAGAATCGATCATGAAATGTGTGATTGTTTTTAAATCAATATACTGTATTTTAACTGATTAAATGAACTTATTTTTTTCTTTGCTCATTTATATTTTTTTACAGATCAACAGTTTGTTTTTCAAACCTATGATCATCATGAAAATTCTAACACCATAACATTTCACCTGATCAATGCTGATGAAGTGAAGAAGTAAACATATACTCTGAAACGTTGTGTTCCTCATTATAAAGAAGTCGACATCCATAAATTCTCTTCCTTGCCGTAACACGGTAGTACTTATGATCACGATATGAGCTGGCACAAGACATTTTTATTTCATGCTGTATTTTCAAAGGTATCCCACTTAAAATATAGTATGTTTCATCTAGAGGTAACACCTGTGCTGTTGTATTGTAAGCTCATTTGGGCAATATATAGAGGTTATCACGCGAGTGTGTTTGGGGATGGTAAATATCCTGCATTAGGAATAAACATTGTATTTAGCGAGCCTTGGCGAGCTAAATACATAGTGTTTATTCCTAATACAGGATATTTACCATCCCCAAACACACAAGCGTGATAACCTCTTTATCATATAATGTCATTCTTTAATTCTGTGCTTCAAAATCGCTTTCCCTCTATCACAAACATTACCGAAACATTGCGAGTTTTCCTGGAATGCGCACATTAATATTTATTACGTCACAGGGTTAGTGATGTGTCAGTCGGACAGTGACAGAAACCAATATAGTTCCAACTGAAATCTGTTTCTTATACAGTGGCGAAGCAACATATACGCAAAACAACAATTGTTTTTAATTGCCTTTCACGGCAATCCATCGGTCTGTCCGCTAGAGTAACTGCCCTTTGTCAAAGGGAAGCTACTCTAACCCTAGTCAATGAGACGTCACGGCCACGGTCAGACGTTGTTGACAGTCGGTCGGTCCTGTCATAACGTTAAGAAGTGTAGTCAGATGTACACACAGCGACAAAACGAACAAGGTAACAATTCAAACATATTTCGGCCAAATCCAACTATTTTAATTTGTGGAGAAGGTTTCAAGCTGCAGATATGGTTACTGATCCCGCTTGGCTAGGCCTCGTGCCCTCGCAAAATTGTTTCGAAATTTATATCGCCAAAGTTGCCAAAACTTATAAAATGCCTTAGCTACGTCACAGTTAGACACTGATTTTCAGTTTATATGACTGTTCTTTTGATAATGATAGCAATTATCCCTGTAGTTTATCCATATTCCCGATGGTTAATTCTGATTCGATCGCCGAATGACAAGGGCGACACCATGTTTGTTTATAAACAGTAAAAGTAGTCCCTACTTGACCTTTGATATTTGCATCTTTATCCGCATATGACCCCAACGGATATCGTTTTTATCCATTGGCTTTATCCTGCCGAGAAACCTACCCATTATATGATAAATTTAAATATTTTTGTTATCATCATATATCTTATTGTATCATACATCTATTGATTAAATTCAATATGGAAAAGGGTATATCCATATGGTAATTTAACAGGGATGTGAGCAGGTTTTCCCGAAAAAAGAGGAAAAGTCTAGGGGGGTTTTAATCAATATTAATTTTGTTTGTCAGTACTACTGCTGAATTAAATATTGCCTAAATATGTACTAAAAAAAATTACAACCAATATGATAACATTTATTTCTACAATACCTGTGTCACTCTGTGCTCTGATGTATTCCTGGATGCTTGAAGTTGAGGCAATCGCCTGTTGATGTATGAATATTCTGCATGACATGTCTACTTGTCCACACCACAAACCTGAAATTAGGAAAGGAAAGTTGTAATTTAAGTCCACAACTCATATGATGATAGTTGAACACATCACGGGCCATATCATTCTAAACTACAACATATTTCTGGTCAGGCTGATGAAGTATATAATGTACTAAAGCTGAAAAAATGCCGTTAATCAGAGAATGGAATTGTGTCGCCCACAATGTATTATTGACACTAATATTACCCATGCAACACTAAAGTACATCCTACTGAGATAACATGATTAAGGCCACATAAACAAAAATGTTGTGCCTTATAACCGACAAAAAATCAGACCGGCACGAAACAGCTGAATGTTTTTGTTATTCGTGCTAACTTCATTTCCAGACCCGCTCTTTTAGAGTATTATTGGATCCTGTATCTATAAATCTCTGAATCTGAATACCTTTAGGCCTTTACCCTCCCTATCAGTTATATTAGATTCTTAGTAAATGGACCGTAGTTCGGCAAAAGATGTCTATATTTAGAAGAAGAGAACGTTTACGTCTCCGTAACGTTCTTGTGATGTTCCGCCCAAGTCAATTAAGGCACTGAAAATTCACGGAACAAAAAAGAAGTGTTTACGACACAGTGTTTACACCTATTAACGCGATAAACAGATCACAAACACTCTGCAGAAAAATACAGTACCCAGTTGAACATCTTATAAAAGCTTTTTCATTCATCAACATCAACACAAAGTATGGTTGTCTACCTTAAGACTGACGAGAAGCCACGGTCGCCGCGTTCAATGAATAATAGTTGTTTTCAAAATATGCACTACGGCCTGTATCGCCCAGTTATTATCCAATCAAAATACAGACCTGCAAGGGAGGTAAATCATTAAAACTCCACACACGGTCGTTTGAGAAGGACACTGTTGAGAGAAAACGAACCGTATGCTCTGTGTGGATTAGAATTTTTTGGATGTCGTGGACTAAAATAAAATCTCTGAAATGAGTTATGTTTAGATTTTTATGTTCCATTGCCTTTTAATAAATAGTACAAACGCAGCAAGGAAATCTCTTCATTTTAAGAAACTGAAGAACTCGCGACTTGAAAAGTACGTAGGCCTTCTTAGCGTGAGTGAGTATAGTTTTACATCGCCTTTAGCTATATTCAAACAATATCAAGTTGGGGGACACCAGAAATGGACTTCACACAAGTGGGGAATCGAACCCTGGCCTTCAGCGTGACGAGCGAACACTTACACCACTAGGCTACCCCACAGCCCTGCATGTTTTCCGATATTTTAGTTTCAAGGCCTGTATAAGAGACTAGAGTACATGCCAAAGTGAAAATTCAATTCAATTGACGTTGAACTATATTGGATACGAATCTTCAACGTGTGTTTCAACGTTTATCTCAGTTCGGTAACTAAAACTAAACTAATGAGCAAAACATCAACCCCTCAGTTGTTTGTATCATATTTTTGTTTTTCAATTGAAAATATCTTCAGTTAGCGACATTACAATATCATTAAAATCAGATCTTAGTTCTCGTTATCGCTAAACATAGCAGTAGCGAAAACTAAGATCTGATTTTAATGAGATTGGCGATATTATATCCAATGTCAATGTCTTCTACCAGTGTTCATTGAACCACTTTATCTTTACACAAAATTACCCAGCCACAGAATACTTTTTACAAAGTGCTGCAGAAATGAGTGATGGTTAAATAATCATAATCAAATTTAACAACAAGTTCTTTCAATTTTCAATTACATAAAATCACAAACTCGAGAGAGAAATACTTTCTTTTGACTCTCAGTTAATTTGTATCGTCTTCGGCGTTCAGATAAAGCTGGCGTCACGGGGCTCGTGGTCAAACGCTGCTCAAATATCAGTGTATAGTTGTGCCCCTTAGCCGCACCAGGATTCGATGCTCATGGTTCCAATCCCTAATTCACCACGCCCTCGTTATCAAAGTGTTAAATGTCTTCAACCTGTCTCCGTATGGGCTTTCCTCCTACATGAAGCTGACCTTTCTTGATATATAACTAGAGTCGTGTTCAAAGACGCCCCTAGAAACTAATACACTGAGGTATTGCCCGTTGTCCTGTTCAGCTCGATGGTAGTTTAGACGGACGTTGTTCATTTGTCCTACTCCGTCTAGATCTATCATTTTATGATCTGAAATTGGCAAATGAAAACATGAATTGTCTCCTTTATGGCTGGCCGGTCGTCTGGTCGTGAGGTACGTGTTGGGGAGGGCGTGGTCCGACAGTATTCGACTCAGACACTAAAAGTCACCATTGAATGAAAGGGACCTCATCTAAGAATAGATCTGGTCCTTATAAGAACACTTTCCAAAGTCATTATTTTTTCGGTAATCTATTTATCACAGTAACCTGACATTTTAGTTAGTTCACGTTAGTGCCAGGCTGCACATGCAAGTTTATATTTTTGTGAAAGGGGTGAGTGCAGGGTGCTCTTTGGCCCTGAAACCGTATCCCTATGGCATAAAGTCTTATCTTTGACTGAACCATCCAGAGATGAGATTGGCCATAGGACTGTATATCATTTTTACAGACCAACCCGTTTCTTCATTACATGTTACATTTTTTTCCATTTCCGCTCCCAATAATAGATAAGCAGTTTCTGAATAATGTACTAATATAAAAAAAATAACATATATTAAAAAAATAGAACTGTGTCATATCACCTCCCTCCCCCCCCCCCCCCCCCCCCCCCCCCCCTACACAGCCTAATACTTAAATTGTGTTAAATTTTGCTGGTCGTCTTCCCCATGTTTGAACTGTAACATACTTCTGATATTACTTTAAAAAATTGAAAAAAAACAAAATTCATTCCATAATGTAATGTACCCATGCTGAAACAAGAATTAAGAAAAACACATGTTAAAACAAGCGGTGTAAATATTACTACACCCAAATGATTGGTACATTGTGACTTTTTAATAGATACTTTTGCGAGATCAAATAAACTGTTATTCATGAGTCCCTACAAAGCTCCAAGATTCATCTAAATGTTAAAACAAAGAATGGACGGTTCAGATGCTACTAATGCTGAGCATCGTTTGAAAGCGAATCCTCGCGATGGAAGAGCAGACAACTGCTGTCGAGGAAGCGATGTAGGTTCATCTCGTTCACCAGCTGGTCCTTGGACGCAAATGTCACAACAACAGGTAATGAAGACAGCTGACCTTACAAGCGTTTATACTTCTCGTTGTGTACCGTGCTTGACTGTTTACATCATATAGGATGATTCTTGGCCTCGGTCAGATAGAACCCCCATTCAAGTCGTACGTAGCTTTATTTATCACCGAAAACAGAGATTTTATTTTCATGTCACACCAATGTCACCTGTGTCCAACCTTAGATTTGACACCTTGGTTTGATAGGGATCCATATATTAGGCCTATTTGATTTATAAGGATTTTAATCTGTGCGTTAGCCGTGATGACAATATTATCGATAATGTTCTTATGTAGATCTAGGCCAAATCCCTGAATACGAATGGCGCATCACGTTTGGGAAGCCAGTGTATTCTTTCGCATGGGAGCCTCTGTGTTTGTTTTGTTCATGCCATGCCTGGTTCCACATGGTTGATTTGTTGTTCATGGCTTTGAGTATACAGCCTTACTCTGCACCAGGTGAACCGTCCCTATGACCTGACAGAGACTGTGGCGGGTTGTCATTGGCGGGTTGTATTGTCATGGACTCATGTAAACAAGTCGTGGTGTATGCATCATGCACTCACAGTTATGCATGTTTATTCGATATGTGAAGGTAAGGTGTTTAAGGAACAAGAAAAATCTTTACAGAAAACTTGTAGAAACTGTCAAATGTATTCACATGAATTGAAATAGTGAGTGAGTGAGTGAATATGGTTTTACGCCGCTTTTAGGAATATTCCAGGAATATCACGGCAGGGAGCACCAGAAATGGGCTTCACACATTGTACCCATGTCGGGAATCAAACCCGGGTCTTCGGCAAGATACTATGAGATACACTCCTTTCTACTTATATGAAACTTTTTGTAACGGCAGGCGATGCGAGCTATAATTTTCTTGATTATTTTTGTCAATAATGTTGGATGTAGGAAATGTAGCAGTCTATAAATGCCACCTAATCATTAATAAAATTCATATAAAACAAGGACTCACATTCATACAGGAGGTCGACGACCTTGTCGTGGATCAAGGGCAAGGATGCGTAGGAGTTGATTAAAGCTCATTCTGACCATCTTTTAGGCCAATCTGTAAAATCTTTATAAGTGCCCCCATATATGATAAAAAAATTACATGACAGTCTTTATTTTCTTGTGTATGTTACACATTTTTTTCAGAACGGCAGTGCAGAACTGATATAAAACTGCCGAAAGTAACTATTATCAAAATGTTTTGGTTTTATTGACAGTTGAAGTAAGTTTATTCACTACCACTTGATCTCTGACAACAAATTTAACTCGTTGTGTATGGTTTTAATAAGCACCCTCCTTTGTCTGTTTCCTAATTTATTACAAAGTTACGGTAGCTGCTATACATCCAAATCTAACTTTTCACTGAGGGTAGAAAAAATGTGAAACGATGGTACTTATTACCTAAGGCCCTGCTTGGCGCTCGTCATCAAGGGGATGAAACAAGGACTGTTGGTTCGGAGTCAGTATAATGTGTCTGAGTGGGGTATCCAAGTTAAACTGTGGTTTGTTATATCAGTGGGCTAATACTCAAGAACCAGCATAAGTCCTGTCTAGTACAAGCAGCCACAAACAAACATATCCAGTCTAGTACAAGCAGCCACACCCAAACATATCCAGTCTAGTACAAGCACACCCAAACATATCCAGTCTAGTACAAGCACACCCAAACATATCCAGTCTAGTACAAGCAGCCACACCCAAACATATCCAGTCTAGTACAAGCAGCCACACCCAAACATATCCAGTCTAGTACAAGCAGCCACACCCAAACATATCCAGTCTAGTACTAGCAGCCACACACAAACATATCCAGTCTAGTACAAGCAGCCACACCCAAACATATCCAGTCTAGTACAAGCAGCCACACCCAAACATATCCAGTCTAGTACAAGCAGCCACACACAAACATATCTGGTCTAGTACAAGCAGCCACACCCAAACATATCCAGTCTAGTACAAGCAGCCACACCCAAACATATCCAGTCTTGTACAAGCAGCCACACACAAACATATCTGGTCTAGTACAAGCACACCCAAACATATCCAGTCTAGTACAAGCAGCCACACCCAAACATATCCAGTCTAGTACAAGCAGCCACACACAAACATATCCAGTCTAGTACAAGCAGCCACACCCAAACATATCCAGTCTAGTACAAGCAGCCACACCCAAACATATCCAGTCTAGTACAAGCAGCCACACACAAACATATCTGGTCTAGTACAAGCAGCCACACACAAACATATCCAGTCTAGTACAAGCAGCCACACACAAACATATCCAGTCTAGTACAAGCAGCCACACACAAACATATCTTGTCTAGTACAAGCACACCCAAACATATCCAGTCTAGTACAATCAGCCACACACAAACATATCCAGTCTAGTACAAGCAGCCACACACAAACATATCTGGTCTAGTACAAGCACACCCAAACATATCCAGTCTAGTACAAGCAGCCACACACAAACATATCCAGTCTAGTACAAGCACACCCAAACATATCCAGTCTAGTACAAGCACACCCAAACATATCCAGTCTAGTACAAGCAGCCACACACAAACATATCCAGTCTAGTACAAGCAGCCACACACAAACATATCCAGTCTAGTACAAGCACACCCAAACATATCCAGTCTAGTACAAGCACACCCAAACATATCCAGTCTAGTACAAGGACACACAAACATATCCAGTCTAGTACAAGCAGAGCCCTAAACCATAAGAGCTATTGTGCAAGGAGTATTTCTTCTAGTGCACAATGTCACCTTGACACTTAACACAAATACTGTTTTGACTATATTGTACAAGTAGTGTTCCTCTTCACTGTACAATGTCACTGTAATATTTTATGCATGGACATGTGCATTTGGATGACAGTGTTGTGTTCATGAATACTGTAACTTGTCTCATGACACAAGTGGAAAGAAAGTTGTCAGGGTCATACTGCACTGTAGCCCGCCCTGTAGCTGCACACTATAGCCCGCACTATAGCCTGCACTATAGCCCGCACTATAGCCCGCCCTGAGCACATCCTACAAGGAATCTAAGGTGAGAAATATTTAGTTGATTACGTTTTTAGCAGAATATGAATATCTAATATGTGCAGGCTTACAACTGGTGTCTGATCAGTTGTCCTGTGATGTGCAGTCGGCAATACTCCAGGTACATGACAGCGGTCTGATCGTAATACTGAATGGGTCGTTGTCATATGAGTCAGGACATCAATGTAACCCAGGTAGATTTTAAATACCGAAATCTGCCTGATTTAGAACTCGAATACGAAAATGTACCCCAACTTGGGGTGCTAAGACTGGGCAAGTCCAGCCCCACCTCTGAAACCAGTTTAGCATTAAATAAACCTTCTTTGTCCACGAAAATTTTGTTTCTGAGAACGATTGCGACCTTGCACCCGATAATATTTATGATTTAACACAGACTACAATGGATCTTATACAAAGTTATAATTCTGACAGTGAAAATGATCAAAACCCATACAAAAATGAAGTAAGTGTCCTGAATGCAAAATTCCAACAGAATAGATCTGTTCTAACTTTGTATGTAAAATCATTGTACATGTAAATTAATGGTCCCTATGCAATCTCACACAATAAGCCCTCAGCAATGCATGTTGGGTAATGTTGTCAGGCATCTGTTTTTGCGTACGCTTGTATCGAAGATCTGCAGTGAACCTCTATGTGGTGGTACAAGATGGTGGCCCTGTCGTCTAAGGTGCCGCGATTCACTGTGCAGAGTTGCGTCCCTTGGACACACCAGAAACCTATGATTGTGGGTTTGAATCCCGGTTCGCCCCAATTATGTTTCTAGGTTTGTCAGCACCATACCTGTGCTCGTGGGTTTCACCTAAGTGGTAAATGTCTGAGACCTGCATCACTTCAGGCTTTCCTCCCACATTAAGCTGACACGCTGTGATATAACTGGAATACTGTTAACAGCAGTGTCCAACACTACTAAACTACTGCTACTACTACTACTACTACTACTACCACTGCAACTACTACAACTACGACTACTACTACTACTACTACAGCGACTACGACAACATACCACCGCTGCTGCTGCTGCTGCTGCTAGTACTACTACTACTACTACTGCTACTACTACTACAGCGACTACTACTTCTACAGCGACTACGACAACACACTACCACTGCTTCTACTACTTCTGCTACTACTGCTGCTACAGCAACTATGACAACATACTACCACTGCTACTACTACTACTACTACAACAACATACCACTACTGCTACTACTACTACTACTACTACTACTACTGCTGCTACTACAACATCTACTACACTGCAAACTAATAACCCACTACCATGACAACCACAACAACTACCACTACTACCACCACCACCACTGCCCTGCCCTATGAAGATCTGGGTTAATGAGCATCCACTATGAGTATCTGCTATTTTGAATGTTTTTAATGGTATTAGCATGTGTACAGCTGCATTTCCAAGAGTGAAACTTCACAAGAACTTTGATATGGTCTCCTTTGTCCACAAATGATGTGGTGGCATCGCCAAGACACAATTTGACAGAAAACAATTCAGCTCGGAATACCTTCTGTGTATCAAAAGATGGCGTTTTAATGATGGAAATATGATTTACACCTGACTGTGATGTCTTTCCAGTTACACTAGAAATGATTGGTCCTATCTGAATAGCATCCAAAATCTATTTTATGCTTATAATCCGCTAATAATAAGTACTAGCAAGAATGCACATCAAATACCTGAACACTCCAGCCATACAAAAAGACCTGTGTAGTGACATTTAAGTTCAATCAGAAAGTCTCTCGCATGGCTGACTAGCTGAATAAACTGAGGGGCAAAAGAAACTACCGTATTCAACGTAAGAAGCGCCCAGGGCGCTCTCAAAATTAGAAATAGGGGGCGCTTATTACAATATTATTTTGAGTTGAAAGATCGTAAATTTCGTGGTTTATGCTAACAGCCTGAAATGTTTACATACGACAATATACGACATATTTTTCAAGAATTTAATTACCCATAATTAAGGGTGTTATAACACACGAGTGTGTATTATACACAAATAAATAAGTCTTGTGTACATTGATCAATCGGAAGGGGTGCTGATTGGGATCGTTCACTAGCCAATATATTCGCAAATATCGCCTTTGGCGCTTATTAGAGCGGGGCGCTTATTAAGTCGAATACGGTATACCATGTTTGTTTTTTATGTAATTGAAAACTGAAACAAGTATTGCTAAATTGGATCATGTCTATGTAACCTTCACTCATTCCTGCAACCGTTTGTAAAAAGTAATATGTGACTGGGTAATTTTTTGTAAAAATAAACTGGTTGATAAAGACAGGGCTAAGAAATGAATTTGAAAACACATGATCTCTGCCATGTTTGAAATGTAAATTTGTGCTGAAAAAGGGAAATTTATTGAAAAGATGTCTAAGATACCCATCAGCAGTTGTGTATTATGTAAATTTTTAAAAGTTTTAAATCTGACTAAGCACCAGTACAGTTAATGTTTTGGATATAATATCACTAACTTAAGATATTTTTAGTTGAAAATCAAACATATGATGAAATGAGCTGAGAAGTACAAAAATCTCAAGACGTCGGAGCCAGTGAAAAATCAGTTGGTAACCGTCCCACAAATGAACCAGGCGATATTATTTACATTAATCTCACTGAGCATTAAAATTATTGCATCATGCTGATCATGCATTTTATGAACCAATAATTGAAGATGGAAATCATAGGGTTATATTTCACTGCGTTCCTCAAACAGGAAGAACGTACACAAAACCTGTGTTGACCATGCAGTAAGTTTGCCCAGCCATGTGGTTGTGTTGGTGAGAAGGTGAGACAGGGTTTAATATCGTGTTCAAGAATATGGCACTTACATAGCAACATGAGTGTGTGGGTGGCTGCTTGCACTAGGCTGGACTGATTTAGGTTTATAGTGCTCTGAGCCCACTGAGATACCATGCCGCAGTTTTACATGAATATACCTCACTTCACACATAGTTGCTGACTCTGAGCCAACCAGGCCTTGTTTGTCCTTGTTCGTCCCCGTACCATAGTTTAACGTCTTATGATGTGACACAACCTTGGATCAAATTTTTACCTTTGTGGGGCTGTCTCTACATACTGAAGTCTGCTGTCAGTCATTGACGGGATCCTTCAGCCATATCTGTTCGTTGTATTCAAAGTTTGATATATGTATTTTGAAAAATGTAAACAATTTCAAACAATGGTGATTTTCCTTTGTCTGTAGAAAACTTACTAGATTTATGTACTATGTGTGATTTCATTATTGTGAGTGTATGTTGAATTTATGTTGAATGTGTTAGTTTTGATGAGCTGTTCAGACTTCAGGCGTCTGCCATGTTTCAGGTGGTCCAGAAGATAGAAGGTCAGTTCAACAATGGCAGAAACAAGGAAGGGGAAGATACAAACAGGTAGGGACGTACAATATATTGCCTGGTACAGAAGTTGCTTACCGGACATAATAGCGTAACACTAAACAATTAAAATTACTTTCATAATTTTGGTAGGGTCGACCATTGGGTGAAATGTTTGTTTTGTTTGTTTGTTTGTTTGTTGTTTAACACCGCACTCAGCAATATTCCAGCATTATGACGGCGCTCTGTAAAATAATCTAGTAATTGACATCATGAGCATCGATCCACGCAATTGGGATCGATGACATATATCAACCAAGTCAGCAAGCCTGACCACCCAATCCAGTTAGTCGCCTTTTACGACAAGCATAGTCGCCTTTTACAGCAAGTATGGGTTGCTGAAGACCTATTCTACCCTGGAATCTTCACGGGTCCATTTGGTGAAATGAAAAAATAAGAAATATGAAGTTTTGAGCGAATGAGCATTTCTTGAATCAGAAGTGTGGATGTGAGAGAATTAGAAGAGATTCATCAAAATCATGTTTGTTTGTTTGTTTAATGCAGCACTCAGCAATATTCTATCTATATGATGGCGGCCTGTAAATAATTGAGTCTGGACCAGCCCATCAAGTGATTGATATCGTGAACAACAATCCAATCACCAAGCCTGACCACCCATGAAGTAACACTGTAAAATAAGTATAGATTGGGAATCCCTGTGAGGCATGACAGAGGGTGTATCATCAAGAAAATATAGGATTTGGTTGGGGCTGGCTCATAGAAAACTAGACCCATGAAGATCCGGGGTAGAATAGGTCTTCAGCAACCCATGCATGCTGTAAGAGGTGACTATGCTTGTCAAAAGAGGCGACTAACAGGATGTGATTGTCAGTCTCGCTGACTTGGTTGATGCATGTCATCGTCTCCTAATTGTGTAGATCGATGCTCATAATGTCAATCACTGGATTGTCTGGTCCAGACTTGATTATTTACAGACCGCTGGAATGTTGCTGAGTGGGGCGTTAAACCACAAACAAACAAATCATAGAAAACTAGGACAATTAATTCAGTATACGGTACATGATAATAGTCAAATAACTTGATGTCGCATTTCTCACTTGACATTCAGTGGCTACCTTGTCACCTGACATTTTTTCATGAATGGCCTCTGTTATATAGCTGTATTTGTATGTATCTATCAAGAATAGAGCCCAATCTCATTCAAATCAGAATCCGCAAAACAAAGATCTGAAGACATCCCTTTACGGGTCACGTCAGAACGACCTTTTACAAACTTTGACCAACCACTGAAACAAATATCCAGAAGTCGATATCAGCCAATGAGATAGCAGCTTTCTCGAGCTTTACGGCACTCGTTTCAACCTAGCGACCTACATTTCAGACTACGCTTGAAAAATACGTTGACAAAGTTTTCGATTAATTTTTCAAAACTGAACAAACGAACATTCTCGAATGTCTAATATATTGTTGTACTGTGCAACGCCTCTTCCGTTCAAATGTTTTTCCCCTGGAAGCGAGAGATAGACGATAATTATGACGGAATCAGTCCGTAACTGTCGTTTGGATTACCCCTGTTAACGTTTTCGAGGTTGCATGATTAGAAAACACATTCTGACTGTCACTTTCATGATCTGGTAAGCGACGCTTTGATTGGTCGGATGAAAGGTCGTTCTGACGTGACCCGTAATGGGATGTCCTCAGATCTTTGTTTAGCGATAGCGAGTACTAAGATCTGATTTTAATGAGATTGAAATAGAGCCTTGGGGTAAATGAAAATAAGTTCAAACTATTTTTGTTTTATGTTCATATTGCATCGTTTGGGTCTGATCGGTGGAGTCATCTGTCCTCTGTGTAGTGTTCTCCTGCATCTGTTGTTGGTTGCAGTGACAGGGCTGCTTCAGCCGGACAAGTTGGGGGTGACCATGACCCATGAGCACCTGTGGATAAATTCAGGGGGCTTCTACATGGAGCCAGCTACCCAGAACAAGGCCAAGTCCACCATGCCTTTCGCACTCTCCAACTATGGGTGGATAACGCAAAACCCGTAAATATTATGCCAGTATTCTAGTTTTATCATATTTATTTATATTTTAATTTGTTGTCAGTGACATCAGGACATATTACTTGCTGTGTGTGTGTTAAATAAGGTTATACCCCACTTCTGGTCTTGTTGGTTTCTTGTATTTTATCTGTAGTGTGTATGTGAACAATGATCAATGTCAAGAAAGGTTTTGGAAATTGGCAGGCCCAGTTTGATTCAAGTTACTCAAACACCACTGGCCTGCTTGTTGAAATGTTATGGTGGGTTTTTTTATTCTTGGGTAAGCACAAGCTCCTTTCTTTGTAATGGCCCCTAATGTTTGAGTCCCCTCGCTAAAATAATGGGGCTTGGGGTAATTAAGATTCTATTTTCTATGTTTTAGAATTGCTTTGCTGTTCAATTAAGGGGTTTAATCATATTTAGCCATACAAATACAAGGAGGGCTATATTTGTGATTTATCACCCTATATTAGTAGCACCAACAGACATGGTGGCTAGGTATCAGGTAAGGTGCATGTGTTCCAAATCTAGTAGGAAATGATTACTCTAATTAAAATGATTACTCTAATTATGCAGTAATTAAGTCTCATTTTCATTTATTTTCACTAATTTACAAAATACTCATGTGGGTACTAATGGCAATGTCTAGAATGAGGCTGGACAACTGTAGATACCAGACTGTCGAGCTCTGACCCCTTTTAAAGGGAGACTACACTCAGACTGACAGGCAGGGGTGGTTGGGTAGCCTAGTGGTTAAAGCGTTCGCTCATCACGCCGAAGACCCAGGTTTAATTCCTGACATGGGCACAATGTGTGAAGCCCATTTCTGGTGTCTCCCGCCGTGATATTGATTGAATATTGCTAAAAGCGGCGTAAAACTATACTCACTCACTCACTCACTCAGACCAACAGGCAGTCCCTGCCAGTTTGATTCATGGCATCAAAACTCCCATTGTTTGTCTGCTAAGGAAAACCTCCTGGTGCATATTAAACTATCAGTTAGTGATTATATCCTTTTACACTGGGATAATGCCTAAGTGTCACACAAGGTTTAAATAACAAAGTCCTAGACTGGAAGTGGATGGCAGAGAGTGGAGCCACGTGTCCCTTTAATGAACTACTTCTATATCAGATACAGTCACCAGCCCAACCTGGGCTATGGCCCGGATGAGAGAAGTGATATCGCTGAAGAGATGATATACTACAAGGTAGGTGCCTAACATTCCATTAGTGTTGTGAGGGCAGACATCAACATTTTCCCAGCTGTGACCATCACATCATGCTACTGCCACAGTTCACTTCTACTTCTCATCATCCCCTGCCCAAACAAGGTTTTTAGAGATATATAGAAACTGGCTCAAGTCATGCGTCTGTTACATTTCATAATTCCTACGAATATCCTACCTCTATTTCATCATAGCCATAAATTCCCATTTTGCCAATAATCACTCTAAAAAAAATCATTAGATTTTTCAACAGACGTCCTCTTCACTGCCAATTATCCCAATAATTTTGAGGTAAACCCATGTGCACGCCAAGATGAAGATCCCCATATTGCAAGGACTTATCAAAGGAAAAATTTGACAAGCACTATTAAAGTCTAACAAAAAGTCTACATCGTTTTCTCCCCAAACCAAAACTAAATCTAAATCAATTGTGGAAAAGTGTTGTCTCTCCGGTAAACTGACCTCCTCAGAGAAACACACGGGCACTAAAGGGCTGATGTAAAAAGAGAACCCGTGTTTTTTGCTTTTGAGGAAAAATCACCTTGCTCAACCCAGCTGCCCAAAAGTAAGGGGCAGGCATCCAGCTCTGGTGTTGGGGCCGCAGCCTTATGCCCGGGTGCTACGGGTAGTTTGGTCACTGATGGTTTTAAAGAAACATCGGAGCCCAAATCTATTCCGTTTTCCCCCTTGAGTATGAGTGAATGGTCTCAATGGTTGACAACAATTTAATCATGTCCGAAATAACAAACGTTTCCAAGCGATATCACAGGATATAAATAAGCTAAAACAACATGCAAATCTGAAGGAACCGACCAGATCTAGATCACATGATTCAGATAGCAAACAAAGCCCATTCACATACACGTCACAGGTCAGAAAGTTGACAGGACAAAAGACGCGTTCTATCTAGGGAGAGTAATCACTATAGCCCTACCTCCCTCTGTGCTTCTCAGGAAAAGAAACATGTATCACGAGAATCTCACAAAAATGAACACCACTCTTCCAGTTCAGGAATATCAATCTTACACGCCCTATAGTGAGGAAAATTCTGCTAAAAGCTCCCATTCCAAAAAGCATGCTCCTTAAGCCACAGTCACGTGTGTGAATCGCGTCTATAGCTCGGACAGTTATGTATCACCTAGCTATTACAGTTATACAGCACAATCCTCGTGCAGCTCGAGCCAGGAGTCGCAGCAGAGAGATAACCATATACCACGTGATACCGTCTCACCCCAGTGGCAAGAGCCGGGGGGTGGGGGGTGTACGGCCGAGAGGATTTTATTGGCACTTCTCAGGGGGAGGCTAATAGTACACTCACGTTCAAACCAAACGCAGAATTAAACGCTTCTACCAGCAGAGCTTTCAGCATACCTTACCCCAACAAAGGGAGACAATGCTATAAAACTCACAATTGTCCGTTCCGTACACCTCCTACAATTGATGAGGAATATTTTGATCTGGTCAGACACCCGAATCCCAAGAATGAATGTTGAGATGAACAAATTCAAAGAATTTGACAATGTTAATAAGCAGATGATAAATATTAGCACGTATATGAACTGGTTTGCAGCAGGCATCAGACATGTACTTCCCCCTGTTAACTCTATTACATCGGGAAATAGTCCTTCCCACCCCTACCCCAATATATCTTACATCTAGTCGATGAAGGTTATTGGAAAGAAGTGATGTTTTCCCACTTTGCACATGCACAGATGCAGTTTGACAAGGGATAGGGTTTACCTAAAAACTATTGGGATAATTGGCAGTGAAGAGGACGTCTGTTGAAAAATCTAAAGAATTTTTTCAGTGTGATTATTGCCAAAATGGGAATTTATGGCTATGATGTAATAGAGGTAGTATTCTTAGAATTATACACAATAACTATTGTTTGATTTCCAGTGCATAACTTATAAAGCATTCAATATTTTTTGATATTTTGTTTTTCAGGTATTTTTTTAATGTTTTGTGTTTCCATGGCAACATGTTGGACTTACTGGTACATTCAAATGAGAGTAGGACCGTTTCTGGAACATAAATCAAACTGTTCAATTTTTCTTCATACATTTCTGGCATTAAACTGTACCTTTTGCGTTTCGGGAATTTATGAAAGAAATGTTTTCTGTGTTTAAGCTATTGAAACTTTGTATGCACATGAGGCAAGTGTTAAACTGGTGCCTTTTGGCATTCTGTGCAGTTGTGTTAAATCTTTAGATTTTACCATTCTGAAGTTGAACTTCTGCTCCACAAAATGAAACCCTCATTTGAACCATCTCATAAACCATTGGGGGGCACGGGTGGCCCAGTCGTCTAAGGCGCCACGATTCACTGTGCAGAGTTGCGTCCCTTGGGCACGCCAGAAACCTATGATTGTGGGTTCGAATCCCGGTTTCGCCCCGATTATGTTTCTAGGTTTGTCAGCACAATACCCGTGCTCGTGGGTTTCACCGAAGCGGTAAACATCTGAGACCTGCATCACTTCGGTCTTTCCTCCCACATTAAGCTGACGCTGCGATATAACTGGAATACTGTTTAAAGCGGCGTTAAACCCAACTCTCTCACTCACTCATAAACCATCGAATATATTTTTGATGAAACTTTGTAAGCACATCAGATATCATACATCATGCAACACTGTTGGAATTCTGAGTTAAAATGGGTCCCCTTGTTTTGAGAGGTAACTATATATACTCACACGCAAAAGAAACGCAAGTGGTTTTAAGCCAATAGGTAACAAACACAGAACCATAAATTGATATGAGTTTTAGCATGTAGTGAAGCCTGATGGTGCTATCAATATTTTTGGTTGCATTTTGGAAGCCCCGAGTAAAAACGCAACATAAAAAACGAATCGCCAAAACGCACCATTTCAATGAATATGTGGGTATCATGCACCCATTTATCGTGAAATCGAAAATGCACGAACTGTCACGAACTGTAGTGGGTATAAAACTGTGGCTGATTCTTGGACCTACCACTCCTTGGTCAACAATGCCACGCCTAACTCAAATTCAGAGAAACCAGGCTATCGGATGTTACGAAGCTGGAGAGTCTTCCAAGATGTTGCCCGTCATTTCAACGTTAACATAATCACAATTTACCGTCTCCTGCATCGATACAATGCAACACAGACCAAAGATGACCTTCCACGAGCGGTCGTCCTAGGGTCACCACACCTCGACAAGATCGGCAGATTACCCGTCAACACCAGCAATATCCGTTCCTAACTGCAAGTGAAAGTGCTCGACAGACCATAGGAACACATAGTTGACACATTAGCTGGGACACTGTGATCTGAAGTCTCCGTTCCAACAACCTCAGATGTCGCCGACCAGCACGTCGTCCTGTTCTCCAACCACGGCATCAACAAGCACGGCTTCAGTGGGCACAGGGTCATCACAATTGGCGTCATCGTGAGTGGAGGCGTGTCATCTTCTCTGATGAAAGTCGCTTTTGTGTCTCCCATGCAGACGGAAGAGTCAGAATTTGGCGGCGTTGAGGTGATCGTTTCGCTGACAGAAACGTTGTGGAAAGGGATCCATGGGGTGGACCTAGCGTCATGATATGGGCAGGGATTGGACTTAATGCGAGACTTGGACCCATGTGCTTTCTGAATGTTGGTCAAGGTCGGGGACACGGCGTCACTGCTCAGCGGTATATCGACCAAGTGATCAGACCCCACTTTGTTCCATTTTTTGCACAACATCAACAACACATTTTCCAGCAGGACAACGCTCGTCCCCATGTTGCCAGAGCTACCAACATCCGTTGCAACAACACAACATCCGTGTTCTACCGTAGCCAGCCCTCAGCCCTGGTCTGAACCCCATCGAACACTTGTGGGATGAGGTTCAAAGGCATCTGCACAATGTGCGCCCAGTCCCCACAACTGCTGATGAACTATGCACAGCTTCTCTGGATGTGTGCAGGAGGATCCCTAGGGCCTTCACAAATCGTCTGATCCACTCAATGTACAGGAGATGTGTGGCATTGATCAATGCTAATGGTGGTCACACCAGGATTTTGACTGACCTTTTGGGTATTGACCCGAAACTGTAAGCCCTTAACATTTGACAAAAACAATTATGTCATCTGCCTTTTAACCCATTAAACTGTCTTCAGTCAAATTTTTGTCAATCTTGCCCTATTAGTATTTCTTGTCTTTATAAATAACATGTATCCTGCATACTCGACTTGCGTTTCTTTTGTGTGTGAGTATAGTGAGTGAGTATGGTTTTACGCCGCTTTTAGCAATATTCCAGCAATATCACGCCGGGGGACACCAGAAATGGGCTTCACACATTGTACCCATGTCGGGAATCGAACCCGGGTCTTCGTTGTGACGAGCAAACGCTATAACCACTAGGCTACCCGACCGCCCCGTGTGTGAGTATAGATCGGGTGGGCAGACATGGTGGCTTGGTCGATAGAGTGACATTGTCACATGAAAGAAGGACTTAGCTCATAGTGCAGGGTTTATTAACAAACTAGTGCAGCATCGTACATCATTTCAGGAAGTGTTTCATTTTTTTCATTTTTCTTTTGGAACTATAATTGAGAGTTTTGGAAATAGCGTATGGATCATTGGTGTCAAATGAAAAGTTCCGTCTTGGAAGGTAGAGAAAGTAGTGAGAGAACAGAGGAATCAGGTGGGGGATATGATTAGTTTTGTTGTTAAGATAGTGTTGGCTGAACTTGTAAACTTGAAAATCTCCGATAAATGCGTAGATAATCCCAATGTGTATTTTGTACACTTGATATTCCAGAGCAATGGTGGCAGCAGTATAGTGGATAACACCACTATTGGCCTACACCCCAATATACAGTTCCTGAAGGACTTGTCCGAGACAACGGGGGTCAACATTGTTGCAGGAGCAGGTAGGGAAGACCATGGTGCTTGTATTTAGGACGTTAGTCAGAGAGACTTAATTGTTTCATGAACTTTCCATTCCTTTACACTCTGATACAGAAGTGGCCTGAACAAACGAGACAGGATGGAAAGATGGTCTGTTTTAATATGAATTAACTTAATAGATGGCCAAAAATTAAATCAAGTACAGTCGAACTTACTGTTGTCTCGAAGTAAAAGTATGGTTCCTGTGTGTCGAACCTCATTTTGAGGAAATTTCATTGTCGAGAATTTTTGTAGATCCCTCCAACTTGGGATTGCCTAAAAGTCGGGCCGGGCCGGGCCAAGACGGGCCAAAGTGTTATTGGCTAATTACTTAATTATCGGCGATCATATCTACATATTATTGATGCAACATACACACATGACACTACTGAACAATCACCAATCCAAAACGTGCAGCATAATTAAGTAATTCGGAGTAAATCACTTAAAAACTAGAAAGTGGAGCTGTGTGTTAGCGTCGCTGATCTAGGTAACATGTAAAAGAGCAATCGTTAAACGAAATAGGATTTGACACGTATCAAATACTTCTAGCTATCGTCATACCAATTTCCATCTGTCGGCATAGCGTTTATATTATAGGAACGTACTATATCTAAGTAAATACCACTTTATAACGTCACTGTTCATCGTATTTAAAGCAGACACGTTGGTTAAAGTAGACCTCTTCTCCCTCTACTCTCGACAGTCACACAGTTCGCTCCGACTTGGCCCGGGCTGTCAAAATCAACTTTAAACAGACAGATTTATCTTCAAATGTGATTACCTCTATAGATTAGTGTTATATCTACATATACACCACTTTATAATGTTACAGATCGCAGTATTTATAGACAACAAGGGGCTCAAAGTGAAGCCCTTTTCCCTCTACATTCTCAACATAGTCTCTATCAGAAGTGTTTGGCTTGTGTTGGGTCCGACTTGGCCCGGGCGGTCAAAATCAACTTTAAACACACAGATGTATCTACAAATGTGATTAAATCTATAGATTAGTATTATATCTACCTATACACCAATTTATAATGTCCAGGTGTATCGCATTTAAAGAAATCTGCGCCCTTAAAGTAAAGCATTTTTACTGTATTTTCTTTAAAAAATCCAAGTCAGAAATGTTCGGTCCGACCTGGCCCGGGCTGTTAAAATCAACTTAAACCTCACAGATGTATCATCAAATGGATTCACATCTATAGATTAGTATTATATCTACCTATACACCACTTTATAATGTCACAGATTGCAGTATTTATAGACAACAAGGGGCTCGAAAGTGAAGCCCTTTTCCCTCTACATTCTCAACATAGTCTCTATCAGAAGTGTTTGGCTTGTGTTGGGTCCGACTTGGCCCGGGCGGTCAAAATCAACTTTAAACACACATATGTAACTTCAAATGTGATTAAATCTATAGATTAGTGTTATATCTACCTATACACCAATTTATAATGTCCAGGTGTATCGCATTTAAAGAAATCTGCGCCCTTAAAGTGAAGCATTTTTACTGTATTTTCTTTAAAAAAAAACAAGTCAGAAATGTTCGGTCCGACCTGGCCCGGGCTGTTAAAATCAACTTAAACCTCACAGATGTATCTTCAAATGTGATTAAATCTATAGATTAGTATTATATCTACTTATACACCACTTTATAATGTCACAGATTGCAGTATTTATAGACAACAAGGGGCTCGAAAGTGAAGCCCTTTTCCCTCTACATTCTCAACATAGTCTCTATCAGAAGTGTTTGGCTTGTGTTGGGTCCGACTTGGCCCGGGCGGTCAAAATCAACTTTAAACACACAGATGTATCTTCAAATGTGACTTAATCTATAGATTAGTGTTATATCTACCTATACACCAATTTATAATGTCCAGGTGTATCGCATTTAAAGAAATCTGCGCCCTTATAGTGAAGCATTTTTACTGTATTTTTTTTAAAAAACCAAGTCAGAAATGTTCGGTCCGACCTGGCCCGGGCTGTCAAAATCAACTTAAACCTCACAGATGTATCATTAAATGGATTCACATCTATAGATTAGTATTATATCTACTTATACACCACTTTATAATGTCACAGATTGCAGTATTTATAGACAACAAGGGGCTCAAAAGTGAAGCCCTTTTCCCTCTACATTCTCAACATAGTCTCTATCAGAAGTGTTTGGCTTGTGTTGGGTCCGACTTGGCCCGGGCGGTCAAAATCAACTTTAAACACACAGATGTATCTTTAAATGTGATTAAATCTATAGATTAGTGTTATATCTACCTATACACCAATTTATAATGTCCAGGTGTGTCGCATTTAAAGAAATCTGCGCCCTTAAAGTGAAGCATTTTTACTTTATTTTCTTTAAAAAATCCAAGTCAGAAATGTTCGGTCCGACCTGGCCCGGGCTGTTAAAATCAACTTAAACCTCACAGATGTATCATCAAATGGATTCACATCTATAGATTAGTATTATATCTACCTATACATCACTTTATAATGTCACAGATTGCAGTATTTATAGACAACAAGGGGCTCGAAAGTGAAGCCCTTTTCCCTCTACATTCTCAACATAGTCTCTATCAGAAGTGTTTGGCTTGTGTTGGGTCCGACTTGGCCCGGGCGGTCAAAATCAACTTTAAACACACAGATGTATCTTCAAATGTGATTAAATCTATAGATTAGTGTTATATCTACCTATACACCAATTTATAATGTCCAGGTGTGTCGCATTTAAAGAAATCTGCGCCCTTAAAGTGAAGCATTTTTACTGTATTTTCTTTAAAAAATCCAAGTCAGAAATGTTCGGTCCGACCTGGCCCGGGCTGTTAAAATCAACTTAAACCTCACAGATGTATCATCAAATGGATTCACATCTATAGATTAGTATTATATCTACCTATACATCACTTTATAATGTCACAGATTGCAGTATTTATAGACAACAAGGGGCTCGAAAGTGAAGCCCTTTTCCCTCTACATTCTCAACATAGTCTCTATCAGAAGCGTTTGGCTTGTGTTGGGTCCGACTTGGCCCGGGCGGTCAAAATCAACTTTAAACACACAGTTGTATCTTCAAATGTGATTAAATCTATAGATTAGTGTTATATCTACCTATACACCAATTTATAATGTCCAGGTGTGTCGCATTTAAAGAAATCTGCGCCCTTAAAGTGAAGCATTTTTACTGTATTTTCTTTAAAAAATCCAAGTCAGAAATGTTCGGTCCGACCTGGCCCGGGCTGTTAAAATCAACTTAAACCTCACAGATGTATCATCAAATGGATTCACATCTATAGATTAGTATTATATCTACCTATACATCACTTTATAATGTCACAGATTGCAGTATTTATAGACAACAAGGGGCTCGAAATTGAAGCCCTTTTCCCTCTACATTCTCAACATAGTCTCTATCAGAAGTGTTTGGCTTGTGTTGGGTCCGACTTGGCCCGGGCGGTCAAAATCAACTTTAAACACACAGATGTAACTTCAAATGTGATTAAATCTATAGATTAGTGTTATATCTACCTATACACCAATTTATAATGTCCAGGTGTATCGCATTTAAAGAAATCTGCGCCCTTAAAGTGAAGCATTTTTACTGTATTTTCTTTAAAAAATCCAAGTCAGAAATGTTCGGTCCGACCTGGCACGGGCTGTTAAAATCAACTTAAACCTCACAGACGTATCATCAAATGGATTCACATCTATAGATTAGTATTATATCTACTTATACACCACTTTATAATGTCACAGATTGCAGTATTTATAGACAACAAGGGGCTCAAAGTTAAGCCCTTTTCCCTCTACATTCTCAACATAGTCTCTATCAGAAGTGTTTGGCTTGTGTTGGGTCCGACTTGGCCCGGGCGGTCAAAATCAACTTTAAACACACAGATGTAACTTCAAATGTGATTAAATCTATAGATTAGTGTTATATCTACCAATACAACAATTTATAATGTCACAGATAGCAGTATTTATAGAAAACATGGGGCTTAAAGTGAAGCCCTTTTCCCCTCTACATTCTCAACATAGTCTCTATCAGAAGTGTTTGGCTTGTATTGGGTCCGACTTGGCCCGGGCGGTCAAAATCAACTTTAAACACACAGATGTATCTTCAAATGTGATTAAATCTATAGATTAATGGAATATCTACCTATACACCAATTTATAATGTCCAGGTGTATCGCATTTAAAGAAATCTGCGCCCTTAAAGTGAAGCATTTTTACTTTATTTTCTTTAAAAAATCCAAGTCAGAAATGTTCGGTCCGACCTGGCCCAGGCTGTTAAAATCAACTTAAACCTCACAGATGTATCATCAAATGGATTCACATCTATAGATTAGTATTATATCTACCTATACATCACTTTATAATGTCACAGATTGCAGTATTTATAGACAACAAGGGGCTCGAAAGTGAAGCCCTTTTCCCTCTTCATTCTCAACATAGTCTCTATCAGAAGTGTTTGGCTTGTGTTGGGTCCGACTTGGCCCGGGCGGTCAAAATCAACTTTAAACACACAGATGTAACTTCAAATGTGATTAAATCTATAGATTGGTGTTATATCTACCTATACACCAATTTATAATGTCACAGATCGCAGTATTTATAGAAAACATGGGGCTTAAAGTGAAGCCCTTTTCCCCTCTACATTCTCAACATAGTCTCTATCAGAAGTGTTTGGCTTGTATTGGGTCCGACCTGGCCCGGGCGGTCAAAATCAACTTTAAACACACAGATGTATCTTCAAATGTGACTTAATCTATAGATTAGTGTTATATCTACCTATACACCAATTTATAATGTCCAGGTGTATCGCATTAAAAGAAATCTGCGCCGTTAAAGTGAAGCATTTTTACTTCATTTTCTTTAAAAAATCCAAGTCAGAAATGTTCGGTCCGACCTGGCCCGGGCTGTTAAAATCAACTTTAAACACACAGATGTATCTTCAAATGTGTCTAAATCTATAGATTAGTGTTAT